TATGCTCCATTAATTATGTACTTACTCTAATCCACCAGGAGAGTGAAAGTGATTACTGGTGAACCAGGTTTAGTCATCTTTTAACCCTCCCTCCCCCGCCCACACACACACCACCTAACTTGATTGTGGCTTGTTCAGTCAGTGTTTCAGATATGACTGGCACCCGAACACTTTCATTTGGATCTCTACTTGACAATAGTTTTTGAATAATAACTGAGGTTAGGGAAAGAATAGGCAGAAATTGTCCAGTTTCCAAGCAAGTTCAGAGGAAAGGGGGGAAAAAAACCAGAAATCCAGAGTTGTTTTCATTTTCCTAGAAGTTACAAATTAACACTAACAGGCATCAAAAGATAAAAACAAGGAGCCATTTTCTTCTTTCCATTAATTCTGACCTGGAGATCTGGGGGTAGGATGGTTATTTGTATCACTTTCACTGAGCTAGGCAGCCTGAGGTTAAAAATAAGGTCTGAAGGGGCCCAGGGGGATGGCCTAAGTCATAGAGCACATGCCAAGCACGTGAAAGGCCCTGAATTCAACCTTTGGCATCACATGGCTTCACACACACTGCCAGGTATGGTCCTGGTAATATTCAAGCACTGTCAGAGAGACCGCTATAAAAGACAAGGTCATAAAACTAACAACACAATTCATTTTATTTCCCTCCCAGTTTATTTTATTAGCACATCAATTACTTTTAATTTCCCGTTAATTTTCTTGGAAACCAGGAGTCATTTTACTTTTATTCTCCAAGTGGTCATCTAGGTTACTATCTGCCAGGAGTCTTTTCTTGTCTCTTACTCAGCAAATAAGAAGTTTCCAGGAAGTCATCAAGTTGTTTCTGACAAGCACATAAAAACATCAGCTTCCCACTCTACTGAGTGTGCATTCACATTGTCACTGTCCACCTTAAGTCGCAGATATATGGATATATGTTGGTGTGGATGACTACTCAGACTCCTGTGCCCAGACTGTCCTGACAAAAGATAGTATGGCAATGTTGTCAAGAGTGTGAAATTTTAAATCCAAGGGCCAGAAAGACTGGTCCAGGGTTGGAAACCTGTCTCTAGTGATGGGGGACAAGGCAGTTAGGATAGAGAAGGCACACTGAATAAGAACTGCATGCTTAACTTAGGTAAAGGAACAAACATGATAATCTCTCAGTATTTGTATTGCAAACGAGAGAGAGAGAGAGAGAGAGAGAGAGAGAGAGAGAGAGAGAGAGAGAGAAGTGCCTTCCATAGAGCATAGAGACAGGCAGAGACAGGCTGGGGTGAGGGTGTGGGTGGGGATGCCCAAAGAGAAACTGGGGTCATTGGTAGTGGAAAAAGTACACTTGGTGGAAGGATGGTATTGAGCATTGTATGACTGAAACCTGATCATGAACAGCTTTGTAATTATGTCTCTCATGGTAAAGGTAAAAGGTAAAGGCCCTACCGTTGATCGTCGATTTGCTCGAGCGGGCCCAGTAACGTCTCCATTGGAGACTTTGTTGTTACTGTGTCTGGCATATCAAATACTCTCGGTAGCTTGCCGGGCTCTCCGAGAGGGGCGGAGGAATCGAACTCGGGTCGGCCATGTTGGCCGCTTGTAAGGCGAACGCCCTACCCACTGTGCTATCACTCCAGCCCCTCTCATGGTAATTCAATGAAAATAAATGAACTATTATATTGCTAAAAAAAGATATATTTGAATTGAATGTTAAAGCTGACACTTTTATAGCTTCTCACTCATGGGTCAAGCTATTGATCTTCCTTCAGCTTCAGTTTCCTCCACAGCAGGATGTAGACAATAATGATCATAGCAAAGGGCCACTTTGTTAATGATAGTAATATTGATAAGATAATGTATGTTGACTAATAGGAAGGAGGAGCTTAATAATTATTTAGTTTTAGTATTACCCTCTATTTTGTAGGTTACCATACATGCTTCTTTGTACTTACAAAGTCTAAGGGAATTTTGGATTTTAAAAAATGCTTAAAGTTTTTGTTCATGGTCCCCACTACCTAGGGAAGAGAAATTAAATGGATGATCCAAATAATCATGGTTTGTTTCCAGATGACCTTCCTCCTCCAACATTTTATCATTGTCTTGAAACAAACACAGTCCCCATTAATTGTCTCTTCCTGTATAATGTGCAGCAGTTTCTTAGAGAGATGTTCAATATTTGGTATCAGCAAAAAGAGCTCTGAGGGGTCTATTACAATGGAATCTGGGCAAAGTCAAGCACTCAGTAATAGCTGGATATTAGTTGAAAATATAGAGGAGACAATGTTTAAAAAATAAAAAAGGAAAGAAGGCAAGAGAATTAATCTCCAAGAAAGAAGTTTGGGAGTAGTAATCCATGAGCATCACTGGGTATGACCCAAAATCAAAAAAAAAAAGAAGTTTGGGTATTTGTGATAAGTAATACTTCCTGGAAATCAAAGGTTACATTTCAATTTACATTATTCCAGAAAAAAGTTACTATACATAAACAAAAATATTTTATTGCATCCTGAACAATATTCAACAAAAAACGTGATGAGTTTTGAAAACACTGGCAGGGAAACTGGAACTTGTTATATGTGTAGATTTTAAATGTACATCATAATTCACTAGGCATAATTCAATTTGAAATTATTCCCTCCTTTATGTAATGCAATGGAAGAAAAAAATCAACTCAGTAATGAATGCATAGTCCATTATAGTTATTGTGTTCTTTTTTCAGTGGTGGGGGGAGAGAGGGGGATAACACAGCAGCTTTATTCACTCCATGTGGCAAACCAAATTGCTTCAAGTAAAGTGCAAATAAGACAAACACTAAAATTGAAATTTTCCTTCATCTTTTACCCAGAGGCATAAGCTGTGGTTGTAATGCATAAGTTAAAACAGCAATAATAATAATAACAGTGGAAAACCAAATGGAAATATTAAACTCGGTTAGACAACTGATTCCAAGGGGCAGCAATTTTCATGCTCCATCTGCTTGGATAAGATTTCTTGTTAATCAGGACTATAAAAGGGTGTGGGTGTTAGATTCTCTTCTGCTAAGGCCATAAAAGTTTCTGAGCAGTGCTGTGATACTTATCTGCTGTATCTAGATTATTATTTTTTAATTTCCAAAGATTCCTTCACTCAGGACGTTTGTTAAGTGAATCCCTAGGGAAAATCAATAAAATAAATGCATGCTACTAGCACTAGAGCAAACAATGGTCGAGAATAAATAAGTCTCAAGTATTCAAATTAGAAGTCTTGACTTTTATGTTTAGATTAAACTGGGGACTATCCCTTATCAATATATTGGAGAGGCATAGTAAATAAAATACATGCATAGGAGTTTTAAAGCAAGCTAACTTAACAATTTTTAATAATTTGTCATCAATGTTATTCTTCCCCCAACCCCTGACCCAATTCTATACATGTCTGGAAAATAGAAACTATCACGGGACTTTCTTTTTCTTGGTCTTACAAACATTTCTACTACGCTCATTTTTTTAATTGCCATTGCCTTTGTATTAAGAGGCTTAATGGAACATGTGACTTAGATTAGAATGCAATTTGTTGGAAATCAAAAAGAGTATAGAATTAAGTTTCTCTTTTTGTTCTATTACTATTTTAAAATAGTGGTTGCTCTGGGTTCTGATGGGTACCCCACTGCTTAGAATCCAGTTCTTAGTTGTTAGCTCTGTGATTCTTGGATTACTTATGTAGCCTTTCTCATCCTCACTGATAGCGATTGTTCAGATAAAATGGGCAAAAGAATTTCTGTTTTTTCCACAATATTGCAAATATTAAGTCAGCACAGCTCTTGGGTGAGATTAAATATATAAATATGTATGTATATGTCTAAATTTATGTAAACAGAGCCATAAATGTTTGCATGAACCAATTGGGCTGGAGAGATAATGCAGGTGTTAAGCACTTGCCTTGCACATGACCCTGTTGTATCCCAGGCATCACATATGGTCCCCCAAGCACTTCCAGGAGAGGACAGAGCCAGGAGTAAGCACTGAGCACTTCTGAGTAAAAAAGGAAAGAGGAGGAAGAAAGGAAGAAAGAAAGGAAGGAAGGAAGGAAGGAAGGAAGGAAGGAAGGGAGAGAGGGGGGAAGGAAGGAAGGAAGGAAGGAAGGAAGGAAGGAAGGAAGGAAGGAAGGAAGGAAGGAAGGAAGGGAGAGAGGGGGGAAGGAAGGAAGGAAGGAAGGAAGGAAGGAAGGAAGGAAGGAAGGAAGGAACAGATAGATCAATGAAAGAAAAAAAGAAAGAGAAAGAAGGGAGGAAGGGAGGGAAGAAGGAAGAAAAAGAAGGAAGGAGGGAGAAAGGGAGGGATGGAGGAAGGGAGAGAGAAAAGAAGAATCAACTTTGTTAAATGTGAATCTTTCCATCCATTGCTATAACATGGATTGCTTAAAAGGTCAGTGCAATTGATTCTAGATGAAGGGGCCCCTAGCAGATAATTTCACACAGAGCAATTGAAATAGGTTAGAAAACGCCTGCATGCACACCACAAACTTAGAAGACAGAAGGTGTCAAGTAATTATTTCCTCCATGCTTTCTATATACCAGGCACTTCCCATTTTTAGTAACCCTCTTGTGTAAGTACTGCCTCCTTTTTAGAGATGAAATCAGCAAGGTTGAGGTTGAAGTCTCACAATTATACTGATTGAGTGGTGGGCTTGGATTTTCCCTACCCCCATATTTTGCTTTTCTAACGAGGCATCAAAGCCTGATGGAGAAGTTGGAAGCTCTGGCCGACCTTCAGGGCAATAGTGACTTGTCCTTTAAGAGCAATTCACACAGTCTAGATAACTCCAACCACAGCAAAAAAGAATCAAGAATAATGAATGCACTAGCACTGCAATGGCCCCTGGTCCCCTGAGAACTGCTTGGGCGGCCTAAAATATTTTTTAAAATTAAATTTCCAAAAAGAATAACAAGGATTTACAGAAGCTACGGATTCACAGGCTGCTCAAACTGTCTCTGACTCAACCCTGAGACCTTTGCCCATGGTATTAATCAGAGGATGGAAGAGAAGCACAGCAGCTGCCTGACGACATCCTGGGAGTGGTAAGTCAGAAGTGCAGGCTCTGGACACGTTAGCCGCCCTGGGTTTCCACCTTTCCTATGGATTTCCTCACTCACCTGGCATAGATTACATTCATTTGCACAAGGCTCCTTTGTTCAGCTAGAAAGTAGGAATAAAATCCGGCCTGCCTTCTAGGTTGTTATGGTGATTAAATGGATTAATATGCATGAAGTGGCTTAGAGCAGCATTTCTCAATCTGGTCCATATGGCCCTCTTTGGACCCCTAGGATATTCCAAAGAGGTCACAAGTGAAAATCACAAAACCAGCACAAGACTAGGGAGCCAACCTGTGGGACAGAGGGCTCACAGGAAAAAAAAAAATTAAGGTTGAAAGGAGCTAGGTCAGAAAAATGTTGAGAAACACTGACTTAGAGAATGTTTGGCAGCTAGTAAGTGTTCCAAAAATGTTACTAGAGCTATTCTATAGATTATAAAGATTATGATAGATGTAAAGTCTTTGCAAGCTTGTGTGTGTGTGTGTGTGTGTGTGTGTGTGTGTGTGTGTGTGTGTGTGTGTGTCCTTGCATTTCTTTGCCCTTTTCTGCCTTGGTCTTTTATCTTTGTTTTATCTTAGGGATGTCAAAGCTGAGATGTTGAAAGCAATAAGTCTTCGAGATTCTCCAGGTCAAGAGAGAACATAATATATAAGCAACGAGTTCTCTTTCTCTGCTCCAAAGCCAATAATGCTTGTCCCAGAGAAGAATAAGGGGGCACTAGATAAAGATACGAATATCATCAAACAGGAGTCTACATCATCCAAGACGGACAGAAGAATCTACTTTTGGGAAGGCTCTAGAACGCTGGAAATTCTGGTCCAGTTTAGCCAGAAAGTTCAATGCAGTGCGCTGAAGATATGCTGTTGCTCAGTCCCTGAAGGACCAGAGATTACCTGGTCTGGGCCCAACCTGGTGATTGCTAGGGGACCTCTAGATGTACTCAGAAGATCATGTGGCGCCAGTGGTTGAACTGCGGTCTGGCAAATATTAGTATGCACACTAACTGCTATATTATCCCCCAGCTTTATGCTCCACTTTTTTAAAAAACATGAAGCAACTTTGATTGACACCCTCAGAGGAGAGCAGCAGGAGTGTCTAACTGTGGTGCCACCCCAAGTAGCCTGAGGCCAGCCCTCTGGCTCCAGCCTTAGCAGCTTCCCTACCTGGTTCCCTAGGTTCAAGGTTCTAGAGAGAAGGGTCCAGGTCTCCCAAGTTCCAGGCACACATCTGCAGTTGCAGATAGGAATGAGTCATTTGGACATGAGAGCTTCTAGTGACATGCCAGCAGTCACATGTGTCCCCAAAATTGCCTCTCAAGACCCAGGGGACATGGTGGCATCAGCTCATCTTCATAACCAAGAAGGCTGCTTTTATTCACAGAGTTTGAGAAGTAAACAAGAGTCCAGACACTTACCTCGATGAACAACTTGTTGGAACGGAAAAAAAGACACTAGAATTGGCTATAGGTCCATGGCTATGCATAACGATTTGGGAGATGGCGGGGGAGCAAACTATCCTGATGCTTGAACATCACAGAATGTTCGATCCCTGAAGCCACATATGGTCCTCTGAACCCTGCCAGGACTGATCCCCAAATGCAGAGCTAGGAGTAAGACTTGAGCACAGCTAGGTGTGATCCCAAAGCAAAGCAACAAACAAAGGGAGTCAATACAATTGCAAGCAGATGACCCAAACTACAGTTAAGAATATTTTAAACAATAAGGCACAGTAGGGAGAAAGATGAAAACTTGGGTTATTGGTGAGAGGACACTGGGCATTGGTGGTGGGTTTGCAATTGAATCATCAAGAGCTCCAAATTCTGTTAGTGCCAGATTTATAAATCACTGTGCCAAAATAAATTTTTTAAATGGATAAATTTGTGTATTTAAGATAAAAGGCATTGGATTTACATTCACATTCACATTGGATTCACATTCACATTCACATTGCTATAGCCTGTGCAATTAAGTGCTCTGCAAGGCAGCCTTACTTGAACAATGATCAATGGGAGCCCCTCCTGCTGACCTTGGCCTTGACAGGAACAGGCTTCCCCAAAGGGACATGTGCTGGAGAGGTAGAAAGGATAATAGCTACTTCTCAGAGCTAAAGGGACTGGTGGGTCACCCTGGGAAATCCTAAAATACTTGGGAGGAATTTAAAGGTGACTGAAGAGAGCCAGAACAGAAGAAGCATTTTGTTATCACTATTACATTTTGCCATGGAGTCTCAATGTGTGTGGCTTAAGAAACAAAAGTCAGACACTCAGCTCCATCTATTACAAAGATAGAGCATGCATGGCGTAGAAGAACCCCACGCCTGGTTCTAGTGTGAATTTTGCGCGTCTGCACACCATAAGCAATTATCAGATGTTAGCAATAGAGTTCTCACACTTCATCTCAGTGCTGACCCCTCCTAGCCCCAGAGATGTCAGATTCCACATGGGAAGAGCCCAGCGTCTCAAAGTCTCCTCCACTCTGGTCTCAAACTCAGACTGTTAGTTGTACTTCTAACCCACTGGCTACAGGTTACAGGTTTCCATGACTTCTTCCTCTGGGTTAGTTGATTTTCGGGAGAAGCTTATAGAAGTCAAGAAATCCATTTACTCACTAGGTCACTGATTAATTGCAAAAGCTTAATGGGGGCTGGAGTGATAGCACAGCGGTAGGGCATTCGCCTTACAAGCGGCCAACATGGCCGACCCGAGTTCGATTCCTCCGCCCCTCTCGGAGAGCCCGGCAAGCTACTGAGAGTATTTGATATGCCAAACACAGTAACAACAAAGTTTCCAATGGAGACGTTACTGGGCCCGCTCGAGCAAATCGACGATCAACGGGAGGGCCTTTACCTTTACCTTTACCTAAGCCGGGAGCAGCCAGATGAAAGAGATACCAAGAAAACAGGTGGAGATTCCATGATATCTCCAGGCACACCATTTTTCCTGAATATCTACATTTTTTTTTATCAACCCAGAAACTCTCTCAACAACTTTTTGGGTGTGTTTGGCGGGGAGTGGGGGTGGGGGTTTCGGGGAGGTGGTATTGGTTAATACCAATGGTGCTCAAGGGCTATTCCTGCTCAAGAGTGACCCCTAGTAGTGCTTGAGAGATTATATATGGTGTCAGATGAAAACATCATTGGCCACATACAAGGCAAGAGTCTGATCCTGTCTCCAGCCCTCTCTCAACAGTTTCCTTGGCCACTGAGGATTAATTAGCCTCCATTTTCCCCCCTCCCCCCAGAAGTTGGGGGTGGGGAACTGAAGGCTCCAACCCTGTCAACACTTGACATGTTTTCCTACAAACCAGCCCCCATTCCTAGGTGGCTGCAAAAAGTCACCTCATTAACATAACAAGAGACACCTTTATCACACTCAACACTTAGGCAACGCCAAGGGTTTGGAGACCTGTGATCCAGGAACTGTGGGTGCAGAAGACCAACTTTATAGAAGAAATACGAACATTGATCATCTGGGTAACCAATCTTTATATTTATTATAAATCTCAAAATTGCATGTGAATGGTACTTGGAAGGCTTCACTGCATTGTCCTTCACTCTCACTGTTGCTGATTTCAATCTGGTTACTTTATTCTTCATGTAATTACTGTTGCAGACTAGGCCTGAGCATCTTGAGTTTCCTAACCGTGTGAGCACTGTGGATTTTATCTCCCTCCCCCACGTCCACAGACAATTTCAATTGGAATCATTAAATCATTCTCGGCTATGGGACATGATTCTCAGTCTAATCCTTGGTAACATATGTACCATTCATTTTATGCAGCATGTTTCCCCCTAGAACCAAATAGTTTTATGTGAGACCCTTAATAATTAATTTTCTAGTGGCTAGAGAGGTGCTACAGCAGGTAAACTGCTTGTCTTTGTTTGTTTTTTGCTTCCACCCACCCCTTTCCCTTCTGGTGCCAGGAGAGAGCCAAGGGTCTCACACATGCAAGGTACACCACCACAGTATGTCATACCCACAACTAAAATCACTATTTTATTTGATTTTTAAAATAATTATTTATTTATTAGTGAATCACTGTGAAGTACAGTTACAGATTTACAAACGTCCGTGTTTGCATTTCAGTCATACAATGATCGAGTATCCATCCCTCCACCAGTGCCCATTTTCCACCACCAATGGTCCCAGCATCCCTCCTATCCCCTCAACCCGCCTCTTTTTTCTTTCTCTCTTCCCTTTTGGGTGTTGTGATTTGCAGTAGAGGTGTTGAGTGGCTGTCATTTTCGGTCTATAGTTTACTTTCTAAGCTGCTTATCTTGTACCACATATGATCCTTCAAACCCCACAAGCAGTGATCCAGGAGCACTTAGTTAGGAGCAAGACCTGAGCACAGTCAGGTGTGGTCCAAAATCCAAAGCCCTCCCCCCAAAAGAAGAAAAACAAAGAATGAGTACAAAATAATTTGCCTCATAAAGGTCTCCCTGCCCCCACTTCTAGCTTTCCATTCAGTCATCATCATGTCATATCCTAGAAAACTTGATTTTAACTTTTAGCATTAATTTTCTTTTTTAATAGTTTAGATAATATGATTACAATACTATTCAAGTTTTACAGTATTGATGGTTACTGAACCCCACTACCACCAAAGTGCCCATGCCTCCCTCCCACTGTTGCTATGCCATCCCTGGTCTGATCTTCAATAACTTCCCTTTCTCCCCTACTGTTTGCTAGTAGAGGACCTTTGGAATCCAGGACCAAGAGTTTTTCCATTGCTCATTACAGTCGTTCCCTTGTTTTGCGTCTCTGTTTTTATTCCACAGATGATCACAGATAAGTGAGATCATCAAGTGCTTGTCCTTGATCCCTCTGACTTATTTTGCCTAGGCACCAGCACATACCACTGGTGAATCACACTTGGTTATGGCTTAATTAAAGTAAGAAAGAAATCGCAGCATTGATGGCAGTGTGTTAATATGACCCCCCTATAATTTTATTTCATCTCTAGCAAATGGCATGGTTTCATCTT